CTCTTCCGATCTCCCCAAAACCCCAAAACCCCGTGTCGTGAGTATTTAAAGAGGATGAAAAGTAAATATTTAACTAGAATTAGTCTGATTGATTTAGACTAACTTAATAAGAACTGTGATTCTCATTCATGATGCCTTGCTTCCCTAGACTTCTCACTAGAATATTTTCTTCATTGTTTTGATGAATCTCTCTTAGTAGATAGGTGGTCTTACTGCGGTATATTCTCTATCATCTCCTTCATGAATCAATTCTTCTAATCTCTTTTTCATGGGATAAGTCTAAAATGATCATATTATTTCATAATTTAACTTACTGTAAGGTAATCGATGATTCCATAATGAATCTCTCTCTTTACAATTCCTAATTAAGGATCAAATACTACTTGCTCAATAACATCTCTACGAGCGATGTTTAATACTCCCATTTTAATCTCATCTGAGAGGAGATCTGGGTCTTGGTTAAGCTCCTCCTTGACAATGTGATTTGTCTTCAGGTTCTTACAAACATAACAGGCCTTCATTTTCTTTTATGGGTTCTTTTGATCAAGAATTATTTCGTCATCTTTCTCCTTTTCTGTATAAAACATGTTCAATCTCTGAACTAGATTTGAGGTTCCATGTCCAAAAGACTAATCACGTTTTTAAGACTATTCCTAATTTTGTAGATGATGAGGCCTTTCCTCATCTTTCTTATCATCATAAAATTCATATGAATGAGTAGTCTTTATGAAGTTTACAACTGAATGTTATCTGATCATTTGAACTTAATTTTAAACTAGATCACTTATCTCAGCGTTAAACACAGCCGTCTATTTAGGATCATTTTAAGCACTGTAGTTGCTTGCAACTGAATCTTTGTCTCTATTTTAGAAAGTAGCGTTTCTAAGTGGGTCTTAATCATAAAGACTATTCTGGTTCATTAAATTTAATGGAGTATTGCCCATTATTTCACCTCTCTTCTTCTCCTCTTAATATAATTATACAGATGAAATGTCATATGGTTCGCAAATATGATATAACATTAGCTTGTTTCTAGTTCTTTCCTTCATCACCAAGATATTTGAATCTTCTTTTCTTCCATACATTCTTGTATGCTGATGCTTTGCTATATTCATCTCACCAATAAAGAACCTTTTATAAGAAGTGGAGTCAATTGAAGTAAAATGAATCTTATCCTCATCTATTTAATTTTAACTTTCATTCTTTAATGCAATCTATTTAGGAATGAAGTACTCAACATTTTTAAATGGTCTTATCACTATGACAAGATACATGCTATAATCCATAAGTCCATGAGTCATCAAAAGATTAACATCATTCTCAAGTTAAGATAGTATTTTATCTGATTAGCTTTAATTTAGATCTAGTTTTTTGAAACTTTATAAGAAATCTTAGTCTTTTAATGTTTTGGCGAATAGTTTTTTGTTTCTATATACAACTTCATAGTTAAGGATATCTCTGGGGTTATCAAGCATTTTTCTTCCATGAACAGATCCTTTAATATCAAATCCAAAAGCAAAATCATCATTTTCTAGGCTGGTTGGGTCGAATTCTTATATATTTCTTTGAATTGTGAAATAGATTGGCAACTAAACTCCGTTTTTAGTCAAATTCATATTAAAAACTCCCAATATTGGAGACAAATGAGTGCTTGGATTCATAAGAGTATACCTGAAGTAATCTGGTAGGAAATCTTGCATTAATTTATATCCTGCTTTGTTAATAGATTTAATGATTAAGCCTCCTTAGAGAGGTTTTACGTAAAAGCTTCCTCCTTTGGTCAATGAGGCATCAACAACTAGGTTTTCTAGATTTTGAATTGAGAAAATTTGTTTGATAAGTCTTTCATCAATATTTTGGATCTATCTGATGATATGGAATATCTCTGGTGCAAGTTCAACAAAGTCGTAACTCAGTCCTTGGTATTAGATGCTGGAGACTTTCTCTGTCTTGCTAAACTTATCAACTTCATCTTGTTTCATAGTTTAATTGAATTTTCTCAGAATATCGGGGTGACCTAAAACTAATCCCTCAATTGCTTGGGTGTCAGCATTGGGATCTTTGTTACTGATCTAAGCAGCTGCACCTTGCTTTGACAAATAGATTAAATCTGTTGCCTTATTTATCATTGCCATGCCCTTATTATCCTTATTTAGCTATAATTCTTGTTAAAGAATCTTATTTGCTGGAGCTTCACCGAAGCCTAGTTTATTATCATAGAAATGTTTGAGCTTCTCTTTTTCAACTAAAGTTTATTAGAGACCATTGACTATATTTTCTAGTACATTATGTTTTATTATCTCTCTAAAAGTATCTAGTTGATCTTTACTAACAATCTTGGTGCTCATATCTGAATGAGCACTTTACTCAGCTTTTCTAAATTTAACATTCTTCTCGTGCTAATTAGCTCCCCCTTTATTGTTAGCTTGAATATCATCTTGACTTAATGACATTGAATAATTACTAAGCTCGGTACCAATAGATGCATTAAGCTCTGCAGCATCTTTGAGTTTACCTGATCTTTCAAGAGTCTATGCTTTTATTCCAATAGCATAAATTGCAACAATTATAATAACGAAAGGATGAATCGCTGTGAAAACTAAATCGCATTCAATACCTGCTGACATAAGAACAAAGAAATTTGGGAGCATGAATAACACCATTAAAATAAAGTATATTAGTTGCCTATGATAATTTTACATTTATGAATGCTTACAATTAGAAGCTGTAGTAGAGTTTGAAATGTAACTAAGGCGATAATCCAGCTATAGTTTCTTCTTTTTAGATTAAATTTTACTCTTGATCAGTGCTTACAGGCTGCTAAGTTTTAGTAGGTTTACTTCTAAGAATAGGAAGCCCATACATAAAGAAGACATAAATGAACATCAAGTAGTATAAGATGATAGGTACATTGAAGAGTAGGTAATATCCAGTTGAGTTGTTGTCGTTAACATAGCACATCAAGTTTGCAGGCTATTCAATAGTTTAATTTGAATATAAGTTGACAATCACTTACAGATGTAAAATTTTCTTGATCTTAGAAGTAAACAACAATTGAAAAACCAAAACTTGTAAAGTATACGACACAGCTATAATACAAGAGATATTTTCCAGAAAAGAGGGATGGCCTTTTTGACAGCAGAATGAAGTCATAAAGCCACACTATGCTCCACAAGAACTCTGAAAGATGGAAGGCATAGTAGTAGAGTCCTTCAAAAGAGCAGGCGAATTTATCATCTCCAGCTCCATCAACTTATTCATACATGAAGGTGAAATCCCTATACTCATATTATGCAAAGAATTGTATACCATATCTAATAGAACAAACCAACTAAGAAGATTCTAAATGAAAGGAAGAGCTAAACTATCAGCATGTGATAGATCACTCCTGTTGGGTTAGGCTTTTGATATTTCTTTATTCCCATATATGTAACTAGCCCTAAAAGTACTAGAACGATGGCAATTCCTATTCCAAAGAAAAGGTTGTAGAACTTTCCAAAACCAATATATGAGTCTTTATCAATGAGAGGCTATGCTTAAACCTATAGCATTCTGCTTTCCATTTGAAAATAGATAGATAGAGTGATTTTCTTATTAATATTTTTAATATATCACAGAACACTATCTTATCTTTAAAATTTAGAGTGGGGTTTTGGGGTTTTGGGG